TACGTAAGTTTTACATTAGTTAATACGCAAGAATCAGTTTTCTACAATACATTGTGTACAATTCCACAATTTCAAATCAACTCTTTAATTAAGTCGCCTAGCGACGTATCTGGACGATATTTTCAAATTTTCTTTTTAAATATCAAAAATTTCAGTCGAATCAGCTTAGCGTTCCGATTTTTTTTTAATTTTTAGAAATTTGACTAGATTCAATAGATTAGTGTTGCCAATCACTGATATTTTTTCGCCGCCAATTTCCTGTCACAATATTTTGTTTATAACAAATGTGAGTAGTAAATTAGATAAAAAAATCCTATAATCATCACTTTTCTTACTGAGGAAGTAAGTAAGTAATATATATTATCTATTATAAAAAAATAAATTGAATCGCTTAAATTAATGCGAAATCATCTGTAGTGACAAACAATGATAATAATAATAATAATCAAAACTAAAGGAACAAAATAACAAAAATAAAGAGGCGAGTAAGGTATATTGAAAAAAAATATTCCATTAAAACTTGTACTCAATAATTAAATAACAATATTATAATTTGATCTTGTCAGCTCCTTTAGCAGTTTATATATTATCAAAAAAAAAACATGAGCCGTTAGCAATTAATTCATAAGGAATTAACAGCGTCCTATACATTGGTCCATTACCTAACTTTTTTATCCAATCACAAATAAAACTTTTTTTGCGTAGACAACACTCTCAAAAAGAAGAAATGTTCCCCAGCAGTGTGATGTGATTTGATATAAGCGTTAAACTCTTTAAATAAATACACCATGAAAATATTTCATCGAATTCCATACTAAGTAGTTAGTTTTAATAAAGATAACATTATATTTAATATGTCTAAAATTAAATGCTTCGTGTTGTACATAAATTTTTTAAACGAACCCTTATTCGTTATCTGCATCTAGCAGAATAAAAAAAAAACATAATCATCTCTGAATACGCTATTCCCTTCCATGATAATTCTAATGTAATAATAATAAGTCAATTATTGTAATAATAGAACAATAATTATCGTTTAAAATTAATTTTCTAGAAATACATGCAGTTGTAAAAACGAAAACAAGTACTGACAATAAAGGTGAATCTTACATTTAGAAAAATGTTTCGAGTTTACACATTTTACTGCGGCAGACATTCGCGACATTGTGTTGCACAGTGTACGTCTTTCAAGATATCTCGAACATTTCGTCTGCTGATGTAAAATGACGATTATATACAAGATTACAGTAACAACCTTAGCCTCATTACAAAAAGTAGTTTATTTTTAATATATTAAATGTTCATCAAATAATTCCCGCGGAAATATGCGAACTAAAAATGTTTAGTAGATATATGTAGTTTGACAGAAAATGTCAAATTTCGCGAAGATTGTGGCGCCACGACTAAGAGACTTTCTTGGTTAGGACTATTCTTAAACCTAGTTTCAACTCGATATTATCAATAAACCACGTTTTGTAATAAGACGGCCTGTGTTTGCGAATGTTAAAAAGTAGGACCTGGACAAACGTCATTTTAAGTTATACCCATGCTAATTGACGTGTTTTAAACTTTAAAAACTGGACGTTAGAAAATTTTCGTTTATTACGCGTCAGTTTTGCGTGGGAATGTGATATACATAGATCGACACATAAAATTTGAAGTACGGATTTCTATTTAGGAATGCTTGAATAGGCAATAAAATATTTGAGGTTATAATTTATGAACTTTATGCCATTTTCTCTTATGTCAAGCGCGACTTAAATTTTTAGTAGCTAAATAATCATTAAAGTACTTTCACTGTAATATGGTCTAATTTAGGATAGAGGAAAATAATTGCACTTAGAATTTAAACAGTCAACACATTCATAACGTCTCGCGGAATCTTAATTTTTTACAATTGTTTAATTAAAAAATGCAACTTCCCTTCATTGTCTTTTTGTTCCTGGACCAGTCGAGGACCGTTCAAGACTAACCTAATTCTTACTGAAAATTTATTACAATAAAGAAAAAAATTAACAGAATATTAAAGAATTACTACCGCCTACCTAATAATGAAAATTACACTACATTATTAACTAAAATACTTAAAACTATGTGGAAAATGATTGAACAATATACAATAAAAACGATTCACTAATAACCAGTGACCTCTTCAATAGGAAACACGCATAAAGCCGTAAGTTTGCCGGATTTAGTACAGAGTAATAGATTGCCAATAATATTGAGCAGGCATATATATTTCTATTTGAGGCGGATGGTTGACAAAAAAATCACCTTCGGAACTATGGTTTGGAAAAAACAATCTAGAAAGGTTGCCGAAGTGAAAAAGTAATATATATATTAGGGTAAATACATAACGCTGGTCAATTTTTCGTGGAGATCACTGTAAATAACATTTAAAGTGTCAAGGCGGCTTATACTTTTTGTACAGACCGACCCAGTGCTGAGCACGTCGCAATTTTCTACTACATATCAGTCGCAACTCTCTTTTTATAACGGGAATCGAAACCCCAAACACTTTGCACAAAAACAATGACATGTTTAACATCTCAATATAATATTAGGTATAATCATATAAGGTTATTTAAAAATAAAGCCACTTAAAAATTAACTAACGTTACAAATAAGATTAAACAACATAATGATTTGTTCCCGATGCGAAAAATATTTATATTATAATTAAAAAAATCTAATAACATTCTAAACGGAATGTTTAATAGCTAAATTCTCTTTGCAATTTGTCCCATCCTATTATTTCTGTACAAACTTACACAAAATAACCTTTTTTAAGCTAGCAACAAATGTCAGGCATAACACACAGATTATTGTGTACGTATTAAAAATGAAATGTTGTTCGATTTTTAAATCTTTAATGTTTGAAATGCGGTCTGATGGGGCATTTTTTGACACGAAGACAAAAAAGGTTTATTTTTTAATATTTTATGTAACATACATACATATTAATATTTTTTAAATCAGTATAAAATTATAATTTATATAAATGCAATAAAGTTTTAATTAACATATTCAAGGAACAAACGCTGAAAGGTCGTCAAAAATATGGTTATGAAGAGAAAGCAAAGTGATGACCAATATGATATCGACTAATTTTAAAATTTCGAATATAAAAATTTTTGTTTGTTTTTAGAACTTGCGTTTGACATCGCGTCATTGGATATGTATTATGATTTAAATATAATAAATTCCTATAATATTTTAAACAAATTGTGTGTTTCTTTGAACAGTTAATTTGATAAAGGGAATTATGTCGAAATGTCGAATGCAAGCTCGTAATCCTATTTTTCACATCACTCGTGGTCTCCGAAGAAAAATGTACGACAATAATTTTTTAACTTGTATATAATATATGTATATTTTAGTTACATACACAATACAAAGATTTCTTAATTTCCATGAGGCGAACATTTACACGTAACTTACAATAAGTAATCGTATGATAATTTTATATCCAAATAGTTTTTACCTAAATTTAATCTGGGAGAGCGTATACATTTTTTCATCTCGTACCTCCATAATATATTTTCGATTGAACACCAAAAATTTCACAAGTTTGAAGATGTTTTTTTGAAGATTTTTGGGCTAATTATAATAATTTTTAAAGTTGATAAGAATATAATAATGATTATCCATATTTTTGTATAGTCGATAAAACATTTAAAACTTGGACCATGAAAAATAAGAATATATTTTCTTACGATACAATAATAGTACATAAAATATATAAGTTCACTAGGTGTACCAATGTACGTACGTGTATATACCATGGTGGGGCCGAAGGTGCCCGAGGTCTAGAAGCAAACCGCATTTATAATACCTAAATATCACATTTAGTAATATGGAAATCCACGTGTTAGCTTAGACACAGTTAAAATTACTATTTTTTTACAAAATAATAATTGCACATAAGTCCGAACATTGCTTCGAATATCAACTCGATACGAAGCTCACTGAAATCCGCGCATCCCTAATATTGCCGTCCACTTCACTTACCCCTTGACAAACAGAGATGGGGCGATCGATCAACCTCCAAATAGCTAATCATTTCATTCAATATATTACCTATCTAATTATAAAAACATCGCACAAAATATGCGATTGTTTACTCAAAAATCGATAACGTTACACTCATAGCTAGCGTTATAATTAATTTGTTACAATTTTTATTACTTAAAAATATTTAAATAGTTGATTTTATTACATTAACTTTTGGTTGTCTTTTACTTAAAAACAAAGTCAAAATCGAGGCTTTTTGGATTTTGGGAGAAATTTCGGACAACCTTCTGCCGATTGCGCTTTTAGTGCCATATTAACGTTGCCACCACATGTACGGTGTCCGCATTACAAAATTTTTGATATTGAGTAAAATATCGATAAAAATCCTTTTTATTTTTTATTTTCGATTTTATAAGTGTCTTGGAACATATCGAGTATTGAAATATTGGAGATGGCACTAGAAGTCACAAGTGACGTCATCCCGAAGATAAAACGGCAAAGGGTCTTTAACACTATTTAATTGTGATTGCATTAGTAAAGCTGTGTTATATTGAACTGGTTGTGACTTTAGGTAACTATTGTGATATTTGGTGATACATATTGTGTGTGAGAAATCGTGAAACTCGCTTGCACTGGCTGAGGGAAGCTGAACGGGGGGAACTATGAGGGGGGAAGCGAAAAGTGTAAAAACAAATGCGCAAACCAAACCGGTTATAAGTCTGATAAAACTAACGTTATTGTCACTATAACAGTATACACAAACGATGCAACGGGTTGCGGAAACTCCATCTCTATTGCACTTACGCCATAACATCATGGAGGCATGTAGCTACACCGAAGTAGCGACGCGGGCCGCGGCTTGCCAACGGAATGTACTTTACATTATATATTATCACAAAGTCTGAGGAGATCGGAGCGTCGCGGCGTCGGACCCTATGGCTCGGGATTCCCGGCGCCCTGAGTCCCGGGGGCGAGCCGCGAGCCGCCTACACGCGGTCGAGCGGCGAGGGCACGGTCGGCGCGGGGGCCGCGGGGGGCGAGCAGCCGCCGGGGGGCGTCGGGGTGCCGTTCCTCGGCCGCATCTTGTCCGCCCGTAGTCTCTGCACCGCTTCGCGCATCTCAGCGGCTAGCTGCCGATCCGAACTGTCTATGCGGGGACGTCTCGCCGGCGGGGAATCGTCCGGTTCGCCCGCCAGCCTCCGCAGCAAGCTGGGCGCTTCGCCCGTCGGTGCTATTGGCGCTCGGGGCTCGGTAAGTCGCTGTAAGAGCGCCGGCTGCCGCTCCAAGCTCGATCTGATGATCCCCTCGAGAAAGGACCCGTTCGCTGGCGGTGCTTCGTCGCGCAATCTTCGCATCATGTGGGACGCGTATAAATCCGGGGCCGGCGGTGGAGCGAAGCCCCCCGGCCAAAATGGATAACCTGTTGGATAACCCGGTGTTTCCGGCCCGTTGAGGCCGTTCGTGAAGGGTTTCGTGGGTGGCTTAGGTGGCGGTGGCTTCGGTTGCGGCTTCGCTTCCTGTTGCGGCTTTGGTTCGCGTTTCCTCGGCCGCATCAGATGCCGTTCCTTCACTTTATACTCAAGCGTCGAATGTGGCACTCCGTAGTACGAGCCCGCTCTGTGTACGGACATCTCTCCTCTCTGCACCGCTTTCACAGCCTCCACTAAGCTATCTCTGTCGTAGTTTCTGTATTTTCCACGCTTGGGTCGAGTACCCTTCCCGCCAGTAGCAGGTTGGCCATTATTGTTCGTGGTCGCTCTAGAATTGCTTGGCACTGCGTAATTCCTTTGATTTTCTGGCGGTGTTTTGATCACCGACACATGCCTATCTGGCGCCCTCATGAAGGGCAGATCAGGCTGCGGCGGCCTCTCCAGAGGCTGCTGGAACTTTTGACTGATGCTCTTAGCTATGACATCGCTCAGAGACGTGAATAGATGTTGAGAAGATGGCGGGTCGGCAAAAACTGATGCTGGAAGGAGAAGCTGAGAAGGTGGATTTAATGGCGGCTGAGGAGGTGGGATGATCGGTGTTATTGGGGTAACTGGCGTGGCTGGGGAAGGACTTTTGTCTTCCGGTGGTGGGAACGTTGGTATTTTTAGTATCACTGATGGGGGAGAATCGGTTCTTTCGGGGTCGCTATCAGGTTCAGACTCGTGGCCTTGCTCGGCTGTAATGCCGCACTTGTTGATTTTATTCCTGAGAGTGGAACGCGGTATTCTGTAGATCGCTGCTGCTCTTCTAGTGCCAAGGCGACCCGACTGGATATCTCGGAGCGCCGATTGGAGTTCATCATCGGTGTAAGTTCTCCTCGTTGTACTATTGCTAGCACTGTCTAGGACTGCCCGTTTTAATCTGTAACAATACGAAAGATGTTAGATCAATTATTGATTATTGAGGATATACTTAACGTGTGAATGGTCCATAGTATCTACTAACTATCAGGTGGAACGCGAGTGTAGTGTAGTGTAGCCCCCCGCCTCAATATATATTAGTGTTAAGGTAGAATAATGGCAGTGTAATTGAAGTTTTAGTGGCAACAACACGTCTCCTTGTTATTGATACCTTTCAAATATTACATGGCGAGTCTGCCAGGATCAATTTTGATTAATCGTTACTTTCATGATCCACACAAATTGGTTAATTATGTAATTATAAATAGGAAAAAAGTATGCAATATATATATATATATATATATATATATATATATATATATATATATATATATATATGTGAAAAATATTTAAAGGAAGAGTAGGTACTACTTAATGCGAGTGTATGGATAAGTTACTTATTAAGTGAGTAACTCAGTATCTAAGTATGTTCAATAATATGTCGACCAAAATAGTATACCATCGTGAATATTCACCTAATTATGTCAAATACTTATGTTATATGTATGCATAATACATCATACTAATTTTAATGTGACTGAGGAATTAATATGTGCGCAAGAAGTTTGGCAAGCCGTCCTACACAAGCCAAGACGAATTTTATATATTATACGCTATTAGAACGTAAGATTTTATTTAGGATTAACTTTATACAATATAAAAAAATGGTTTTTTGTCGGTGGGAGGTGCAGTGTAACGTAGCCCCCCAGCTCTATACATATTAGTGTTAAGGTAGAATAAGGGCAGTCTAATTAAATTTTTAGTGACACGTCTTCTTCTTATTGAGACATTTAAAATATTACACGTTTTAACGAGCAGAATTTAGGAAAATTTGGTATATGCAAAATAAATTACGACCCATCCATTACAACCTATTAAAACTCACTGTTAAACATATTCCTGCCATTAGACTGTCTCATAGGGGCGATATTGCCATAATTGTCACGCTTGCCAGATAGGTTTGCAACCGCACTTTTTTATTCTATAGTCGTTATTATGAAGACCCATCTGTTGGTTCCATCCAAACTCTCACAGCGTCTTATTTTTAAAATTTAGACTTATTAATATTTATTGTCGTCCTAATCTTATCTGAGGTCGGCAATACATGTTGTATGTCGTAAATTGACAGTAGAATAAAAATAAAATACATAGAATAACTAACTTTTGTTTAAATCACAGGATAGGGAATTTTGTATTATTAATTCTATAACTCCAAACTTCTTTATAAAAGAATAGTCTCTAAATATACGTTTTAATGGTTTAACGTGCTGTAGGTGGCCAAAAAAAAGTGTCCGTCAAATCGCATGCGACCGCTCGGGATTTGACGGACGCATGCGTCTGCATGGGAAGCCTGCAAGCCTCAACAACGCGAGCGGAGGCGAATTGATACAAGGCAAGTACTATAGTCTACATGTTAGCTAAGTTTGAATGAGTGAACATACATGGCCGTATAACATGTAGACACGACTTCCCGAGTGCAGGCGAACGCCTTTGATTTGTGCTGAAAATCCGACACTGTTTCGAAGTGAGACGAGTCGTGGCGAGCGATCACGAGTGGTGGCAAAGCTCGGCCAGCTAGGCGAGTGACGACGATCGACGGCGAGGCTGGACAAATGGGGTGTTTATACGTTGGTAGTCGCCTTCGCTCGGTCAACATGTTTAGCCAGCCGGCTTAAATAAGAGCGCAAAAGCCACAGGCTAAGCGAAATGAATCAGAAAACAATCTAGGTCAACAGCCGGCAATCGGGCGGTCGTCGAAACGCGATATTTCAAAACAGCCTGTATTAAACCAGTGATAAGCGAAATGCGAAATATTTACTCTTCGACTCACCGATAACAGACTGCTATGAATGCATCTTTATCTTTTAACTTCGTCTTTTATTTCCCGTTGCGACTCGAACAAACCTAGTCGCAATTTACAAGTGATACGGTTGAAAAACGCGTGGATTGCGGCTGTCGTCTTTAGTTTCATCTTAGGTTTTACTTTCTTATTTTTCGCTATCATTAATACAGCATTGTGGACTTTATTGCTTGTTGGTAAAGTGTATTTTCGTGTAGAGTTTTCGAAGTTTACTGCGAGGATGCAAGGTCGATGCACCGGGCGACTATCGTTGCATTTTTATTTGTTTTGGCGAGTCATACGACCCACATCGCGGTCCCAGCGAATGAATTTATTCAGTTATCGATTGGATATTGTGTATAATATCGATGTTGAGACGTTGTTCTTCTTCAGGATGACACGAATCGCGTTAGGGACGCTTCGTCTGAAATGTTTTATTCAAAACGTTCCCGACGATTTGGAATATATCATCTATAATCTCGTGATGGTCTGGGATTTAAGGAATTGTTCTTCATTTAAAGTGGCACTTGCTATTCTACCACTGTTTGTCTTTTGAAGCGATTAGGGAGTAACTAGGTCATTTAAGCAATAAATATGTGGTCATACGTGGTAACGCCACGCTGCAGCTATATTATGGTTGTAGCACGAATGGGTAGGCTCGACCGAGGAAGGAGCATGCTCTCACAGAATACAAACGTAAAATGACAGCTTAATACTGCTGTTTCGCATGGTGAGTGTAGAGATCCGTAGACCCTTTTACATTCCGAATTACATGGCCAAATGAGTAACTGTACTAAATTTCAAAACGATAGTTAAATAATTATTGAATTTAATTCATTCGTTTAATTTCAAATGAGTTTGTAAAGCAATTATTTGTTAGTTAAGTACATAAATGTTTATTCCGCCCGGGATTAAAAGCAAAAGATTTTTTTCCTTGAAACATCTTGAATGATATCGGGTTGGAACAAAATTAATTATTGAGTTTTTTTGGCAAGAAATTCTCAGTGTTTTTGTACCAGCAGCGTTTCGGATAGCATGTAAAGCTGTTTGTCCTGAGCTCCGTCTGAGCTCTGCGGTAGAAATATAATGAGTGAATATGGAATGCACTTATTGTACGCTTACACTCGTCCACAATAATCTGTACTGCACAGAGGACTAGTTTCCATAGAGATTGGTCACCTTGACCAAAATTCGGTCTAAAGGACATTGTAAGAGAATATCCTACTAAAGACCTATCAATAGCTAGCTTTTGATTCTTTTTTGTTTCATAAATCTTGCGCTTAATCAGTATTCAATCTTGAAATTAATAAAGTTATGGCTTACATCCTCATCAACCTGTTGGCCACTGGCCTGTACATAATTTTATGAATTAGAATTTATGTTGCAGAAGTGAACGGCAGAGTCGGAAAAGGACGTCCTAGGTGAAAGTTTACCGACCAAATTGGCGATGTATTGAAAACGGGCCAAATTAAGAGCGAGCCGACGAGCATGTATGCGTAGATATATGGATGTGGAGGAGGCGAGAGAGGTGTGTCAGGATCGTGTCAAATGGAAGTCTGTAGTCTCTGCCTACCCCTCTGGGTGACAGGCGTGAGTGAGTGTTTATGTTATGTTTTATAACAATTATAATAGGATTTGTTGTAATAGATACGATCGGTGGTGGGTTGGTGACAGCACCAGACTTCTCGCACCTTAGCCACTTCACCGTTACTTGCGATATTTTAAGACGAAATTGTCGTCGTAGTTATCCGACTTATCGGATAGTATAAAGGTTCCTGGGCATTTTTCCTAGATTAAATATTTACATCACAGAAAAAATGAAATTGGATGATAGATTGGTTTATGCTATCGTACACTCATACAATATGATTATATATTACGTAGGTAAATTTGCTGCAAGCACAGTAAACGACCAACCCGGGTTCGATCCCAAAGGCATTAATGAAATTTTAAAATGCAATTGTATCTGATTTACTACGTGTTTGGCAACGAAGGAAAATATCGTGTCGTGTATTGTTTTTCCGAGTCATAAAAATAGAAAAATATTTCTAAGGCATTGTGGCAGCGCGAGAGATACTCCTCTGCCATAAAACCCTCTCAGAAATGAGATGAGGTATATAGGTATACACAAATGAGTGATCTTGAGGTCTTGGTGCGGAGCGTGCAGTGGGGCGTGGCGTGTAGCGTGCTTGTCAAAAATACACATATAGAAAACATAGTATAATTGTACTAAGTGGCCCTGTTTAAAAATTTGTATGCCAAACGCACCGTTACTTCACAAAGGCACGTGTAAAACAAAAGAAAGCAAAAGTGACTTGTGGATATGGATGTGGATTCTCTTGTGATGTTCTGTTTAGGCGTCACGAGAAACGATTCGTTTTAGATTCGCAAGAGCCAATATTTGCAGTTCATTTACATTCGCACTCGTACTCCGAGAATATTATCTACAAACGAGAACATGGATGTCACATCATTCATAATTTAGTCCTGTCTATTTGATGCATAGCTCGTAATAATTTAAAAATCATTTTTAATATCGCTGGGTGTGTAAAAATGCTTAGATTCGATCTGAGGACAAATGGTCATGTTTTCAGCTACGCTCACTAAGCGACACATGATATAAAATGCATTTTAATGTATGTTATCTATAAAATGGTTCATGTTATTCGAAACGGGCAGCCCTCTCTAGTGAGTCAACACACAAATAATAAAACTCGTTGTCAGTTTGTAGGTCCGGGCGATAAACTTGCGATTACTTTCGCAATACTATTCCTCACGAGGCACTGGAGCATTGACACTATCCGATATACGGGTTCTTTGACTTTGAAATGATATATTTATTCATATGTACCGGTAACTGTAGCTGCATGCGATCTGCATGTCTTGGTATCGGAATGTACGAGTACGTTTGCATACATTCGCACAAATGTTTTTGAGTCTATAGAGGGTACGTATGTTGCGATTTTGTAGGTCGTGTATAAAGTGGTTTAAAAAAAAGTAGATAAGTATGAACATTTTTGCTAAGAATTTTGACAGTGACATGTATTATCAAATAATTATACCCACAAAGCTAACTCAAAAATAATTTTTAAGAGGAGAATTCTGTTTATGAAGATTTTTTC